ATAGTTCAGAACTATATTCAGTAAAATATGTGCTTCTGGAAAAGATCCAAAAAAAAAAAAAAAATAACCAAAATTGCCACAGGATGGAAAATAGAATTTTTAATTAAGTAACAAACATTCCAGCTGGATATGAGGAAGCACTATTTGGCTACTAGGGTTATGAAATATCAAAATGAGCAAATCCAAGGAAAGCACACCCAGAAATTTTCAAAAGGACAAGAGATAAGCATCTTTTTTTGATTATTGGAGGGTCACCTGCCCCCCAAACAGGGCACTGGAACAAATAAACTCTCAATTTTACCCAGCTCTATTAGAATTCATCTAGGATTCTATATGCCTTTTATAAGGCTTTAGCCAAAAAAACTGCTGTTACTGCATCATTGATCTTATTTGTTGAAATTTCCTCTTAAAACCATTTCTTTGCCCTCTTGTTTTTTTGTTTGTTTGTTTGTTTGTTTTTGTTGTTGGTGGTGGGTTTTTTGTTTGTTTTTTGCTTTGTTTCTTTTCTTTTCTTTTTTTAATTTCAAAAAGCCTTTGCAATGAGCTGGAACAGAATCTGGGATGTCTGAAGTTTAAGATTTGGGGATTTTTAAAAAATTGCCAGAGGTGACATGCTGAGAGAATAGAGTCCTGACAGTAACCACAGGTCTAGGCCAGCAAAAGGTCAAGTCCAGAGTGAAGCTGGCTGACAGATACCATAGATCTGGGCAGGCAGGGGCCTGGAGATCAAAGCAGCATTATCAGGCACAGCAGAACTCTGACCTTAGAGCAGAATGGCCATTTGCTTTCAATACTTTTTACATAATCTCCTAAATATAGGTTGCTTGAAGTTTAAGAGACACGTCAGAGGCAGAATGGTGTCAGAGGCTAGACAGCCGTAGGGTCAGAGATGCTAGGACTACCTCGCAAGAGGTCATCCCTGTTCGTCTCGCCTCACCTGCATGGCCACATTAACACCCCCAAAGTGTCCTGGGTACATCCAGAAAGAAAGTTTGGAGCACTTAAGGGGCATCCAGCACAATAATGAGATAGCCTTCAACATATCGGAAATGAGATCATGCTAAACCTCAGGTTATAAAGGGATCTGTCTCTATTTCTTTCTAATGTCATTGAAGAGATCTCTTTAAAAGGCAACTTTGCAATGTCCCTGAATAAATGCCAAAGCCACCTCCATTACTCACTCAGACCCTCTTACAGTCCCTCTTCCCTACTTTTTCTGGGACCCATCTCAGTCTCTGTGTCTCACTGAGGTTGAACAACAAGAAAATACATATTACTAGATAATTGACGGTCTCCCAGGATGTTGTTTCTCCCTCACAAAAACTAGAATAGGACAACTAGCCTGCCCCTTGAACCTACTGCTCTGCTGAGAATGAATCTCCATAGCTGTCAAATGTCAGAGTGACAGACCCTCACATCTCTGCTAAAGGTCACTTGCTAAAAGTCAAGGCTGAAAGGATGTACATCATGACAGAGACAAAGAGGAGCACATTAACCTCTTAGGCTTCCATATGTTCTTGGACACTTGCCTCCTTCTGGGCTTTGGTTAACTTTCTGTTTTCGAAGATTTTTGCAAAAGTACCGGATGTTAGAAAAGCAAAGCAAACCTAACAAAAAACCCAGATGCTAAATCCATTTGTTTCAAGGCTCTCCCAAAAGCTGTTGGGGAACTCACATGAAAACAGGTTCCTGTTCCAAGGAGTTGTGAGGTTTAATTCATTTCATGCGATTCAAGGCTCATCCTGAAACCCCATATCCTGTTGATGTCACCTACTTTTGAGCCAGAAGAGAGAAGATAGTTTAGACTTGATGAATTTTCCTTCCCTCACAGCCTGTGCTGTGTTAAGCTTCTGCTTATGTTCACACCAGAAAAATGTTAAGAAAAAAGCTACTGATTTTTCCTCATTCCTCCCCCACTGTATCCCAGTAAGAATTCTATCTGAAGAATGTGTGTGCAAGCATGCATATGTATGTGTACACACACACACACTCATATGCACAAATCACAAGTATTTGGCAGATACTCAAATCCTTCTCTTTAAAAGCACTAAGCCACTGGTGAAGCAGTGTGCCAGGTTTCTGGAGAAGAAACAGAATGCAAGCATGCTAGGCCAGCAATGGAGAAGCAGCACTCCAGAAGGCTGAGTCCACAACCGCCAGGTAAACCATGTTCCTGTTCACCTTTATGTGCTTTCCTGTATCTCTATGAAACCAGTCTCCTTGAGGGCAGGGATTCTCTCTTTATTTTGAGATTTCCAATACCTGGCCCTGTGTCTATATATGATAGTCACCCAACAAATGAATTTTTGAATGAATGGAGACCATCCCTAGCTATTTACCAACAATACCATTTAATCACATTTTATAGACAAAACTTCAAGGTGTTCAGGTCCATGTATAAAAATTAAAATTTATTCTTGTGTTTAATTCTGGAGAGCATCCCTAGCTACTTTCCTAAATAATCTTTAGGAACATCTTTACCTCCACGGTGCCCAAGTCACGCCTTTGTGTCTAGGAAAATGAATATAGAAATTTCCAAAATAACATTAGGATGCTGTGTGGCTAGTTAGTATCAAAGCCAAATTCTTATCTAGTGCTGTTATGCCATATCTCAAGTTTGAGTGTGCCACCTCTTTCCTGCAGGGACCTAGACTCCTACATCTACCCTGGGTTCCTTCTATCTGACCCAAAGTAAACAAACAAAAAAGTTTCCAGGAAATATTTTCAATCATATCTGCCTTGCATATAGTAAGTGTTCAATAAATATTAGATTAAATCATAAAATCATATTGTCAATAACCTCTATCACTTCCAACTATAGGTAAATAAATTATTTTCTCTCAATTTTAAAAGTTTGGGTTAGAACATGAGACATGTTAAGAAATAAGAATCTTATTTTAAGTTGACAAGTTATTTCTTATTAGAGCCATGATTCTCAACATTAGCTGCATGATAAAAAGTGTTAGGCCTGAGGTACTTTTATAGTAGTAATCCCTCAGCCCATCCCCCCAAATTCTGATTTAATTAGACTGAAGTGGATTGAGGCACTGGCAGTTTTTTTATAGCTCCCCAGGTGATTCTAAAGGGCATCAAGGGTTGCAAATCACTGTTCTTGGCAGAACCCAACTTCTCCTTCTCAGGGGTGATAAATCTCTGCCCTAGCCATAATGAGGTTGCAAGGGGAAGAGAAGAGTGTATGGATTATTGGAAGAAAATACACCCAAAGAAGTATTTTAAAAATATTTCTCTCTTAAACATAAATTTTTTGAATACTTAAAATGAAATAAAAATGCTAGAGCAATATGGTCACAGCATAAAGTTCCAAGCTCAGGGCCCTGTTTTACAGTCAGGTGCAATGGTTCTCAACTAAACTGCCTGTGACACTCAGCTGAGGAACATCTGAAAATATTAGTGCTCTTGGCCCACTCCAGACCCAATTCTATCAGAATCTCTGGGGCGGGGCCAGGGCATATATATACACACACACACACACACACACACACACACACACACACACACACACACACATATATATTAATTCCCCAGGTGAATCTAATAGGTCAGGGTTGGGGACCATTGGTCAGGATAAAGCAATTTTTCTAAATATCTTGAAATTTAGATCATAGATTGTTCCATGTTTTTACACAAAAAGAAATTTTAATTTTCATACATGGACCTGAACACCTTGAAGTTTTGTCTATAAAATGTGATTAAATGATATTGTTGGTAAGCCTAGCTATGAATTTTAGTTGGAATGTGGCAAACAAGGTGAGCTGGACAAAAAATGGTAAATTTCCATGAATGGTTGCTGATGTGCAATGTAGACATTTACTTGATAACCCGGTATCTTGTAGGGTAATGCTGGCACATGTCTGGATGTGCCCTTCACCCAAAACATGAAGTGAGTTCTGTAAAAAAATGTTTCTCTGGTAGAAATGTATCACCAGCTAAACATATATAGGAAGGGCCAGGTGCGGTGGCTCATGCCTGTAATACCAGCACTTTGGGAGGCCAAGGTGGGTGGATCACTTGAGGTCAGGAGTTCAAGACCAGCCTGGCCAATATGGTAAAAATTACTATTTTGTATTTTTAGTCTCTACTAAAAATACAGAAATTAGCTGGGCATGGTAGTGCACGTCTGTAATCCCAGCTACTTGAGGCTGAGGCAGGAGAAAAGCACAGTTTGCATTGAGCTGAGATTGCGCCATTGCACTCCAGCCTGAGTGACAGAGCAAGACTCTGTCTAAAAAAAAAAGGATTTCTAGAGACTATTTCCCATCTTCCCATTAACCAAGTGAATCAAAGTAGCACGTTAGGTTTCCGGAGAAGAAACAGAATGCAAGCATGCTAGGCCAACGATGGCGACGCAGCAAAGGAGCCAGTGTTTGACTCAGAGGCCCAAGCACAATAAGCATGTAGATTGGTCTGAAGATCATGCAGAAAACATTAGTGGATTGGCCACTGAATCACTATTTTCCTTAAAATGAAATCCATTTCTTAAAAGTACTTTGTAAACTAACATTTTCAAGTATGCTTTTAATTTATGGCAAAACTACAATAAAGAGAAGCAGCTTAGTGTGACATAAGACCACTAACTAAGAGTCAGGTTTTGACACTAGCTACATGACTCAGGCAACATATTTTATCTTAGTATCTGGGTTTCTATGTCTTCATATGTAAAATGAGTCTAGTTTGATTCTTCTCAACCCTGTCTGATCAGCAGAATGCATAGGGAGGTGTTAAAACCTACCACTTTCTGCGTGTCTCTCCCAGACACTCTGATTTAATTGGTCTGGAATGGGGCCCAGGCATCAGTATTTCTCAAATATTTCCAAGTGAAGTCAATGTGGGCACAAGCTGAGAAGCACTGCACTGGATGAGCTCAATGTTCCTTTCAGCTCTCATCTTCCTTTGGGCTTAGGAGTCTTAGCTTTGGGGGCTGCCTGAGCCATTAGAAGAGTTAGTAACCAATGACGATACATCCCACAACACTCAAGGCTAGTATTTTGCCTCTTAAGGGGGTCACCATTTCTTTTATCTAACAATCAAGCTAAAAAATCTAAAAGTTTTAAAAATAGGTTCTAAATATGCTGTGCCTCTGACAGTTTGTGCTGTCCTGAGAAGATATTCAATAGCCCTTCCCATAGTGTCACCAAAAGCTTTCTTGATTCCACTTCACCCCTTCCCAATGTCCTTCAGGCATTTAGGCCTTGGACCCGCATTTGTTTTCACATTTGGACTTGAAGAGCTGATTCTTGTTTCAGTTTGGATTTGCTGCCAGGTCTCCCAGCCCAAGTTCAGTTTCCCATGGGTTGGCTGAACCACCAGTGTAAAACAGCAAGATAACATCCCAAAGCTGGAGCTCCTCCAGCCATGTTATGCACGGAGAACCAAGTCCATGCTGGCCTCACAGGGTCGCTGTTCTCATAGCCAGGGAGCCATCTTGGAAGCACGATGGATGGCTCCGTCATTTCACTTCAACACCATCCAGTCTCTCATTCAAGCTGTTGAGAGCAAACCAGAGAGAGAGAGAGAGAGAGAGAGAGAGAGAGACAGAAAGTCCAAAGAAGCACTAATTCAAGCCCAGTTTAAAAAATCAGTGGTTAAATAAAAGTTATGAACCAGACTGAAATTCTGGACTCTGATAAACTACAAAATTAAAACCAGAAGAAAGGTCAGTAAGCTTCCGAGTTGATTGACTGAACTGTCCAGTTAATTGCTTCCACCCACACTTCCTCTTGGCTATGGAGACAGATTCTCAATATTAAAACTTAGAAACAATTGCTGTCCCACCTGAAGGATAAAATGACAATGTAAAACTATACCTGGCAAAAAAGTCTGATCTTTGGCTCAAGGGATTAGATTGGTTTTAGTCAGGTAAATTTTATAGCCTAGAGAACTATTTTCAAATTGCTGCAATCTTTGTGAAACCAAGATTTTCTCAGTGTATGAAAGAGTTAGCAGGGCCACCCAGGTCTTTATATGGAGTCAGCCTGGAGTTTCTGGTTACCCACATAATCCTCATTTTCAAGATTAAAAATCATAGTAATAAGAATGTTTCTTGAGTTTTGTCATTATTCATCATTAAATTGGTCTAGATCCTTCATGCCAGAAGTAGAAACAAGATAAGACAGAAAGAGAGTGCTTAGGAAAAGGTCAGGGACAGATTTAAACATGGCCCACTAAGCAGGTCAGCCAGTTACCCTGCTCTTAGGCTACTATGCCAGCTATCACCCACTACATCCTTACCCTGGTCCCACTCATCACCATGCCCACAGAAAACGTCCAGAGGAAATCTCCAACCCCACAGAATAGTGAACGAGTACCCAGTTACCTTTAGGATTAACCTACCCTGGTAACACAGAATGTAGAATCCCCCTAGAAATACGGAGGCCAAGAATGAGTACCAGATCTCATTTGGAGAACACAGGCTGACGGTTTCCAAACTATTCGAGTACTGGATGCCCACAGACGTTGTGCTATCTGCACCATAAGGCTGTGTAGCTCACTGGTGAATAACACAGGACTTGTAAGACTCATCTTGGTTCCATTCCCAAGTTCTACATTTACTTGCAGGGAGATCTTGGACAAGTTACACAAATTATTGAGCCTCAATTTCTTCCTCTGAAAATGGAATATGGGGATGGAGGCAATGCACAGCTGAAAAATAAGAGGGTCTAAAGAAATTATAGTTATCTTTACTATCCTTCATAATTACCCAGAAAGATGAAACTATAACTGAATCCATATGGTAAGGACTCTTAGAG